GATTTGTTCAATGAAATAAAAAATTTTTTTTACTTGGAATGAAGTTCAATCTGTAATGTATTTTCCATTTTGTTCGATGACCTTTTGCCATCTCTCTGACAACTTGAAAATTCCACGCTCGTAGAAAGTCTGATTCTTTTCGGCCAAAAACTGAGTTAAGTGAGATTTTACAGCGTCATCATCATTAAAGGTTTTACCACGAAGGGAGTTGTCCAGGGATCGAAATAAGTGGTAATCCGATGGCGCGAGATCAGGGCTATATGGTGGGTGTAACATCAACTCCCAACCAATATTCATCAATTTTTGCCGAGTGGACAAAGACGTGTGCGGCCTAGCATTGTCCTGCTGGAAAATGACACCTTTACGATTGACCAATTCTGGTCGCTTTTCCTTGACCGCTGCATTCAATTTGTCCAGTTGCTAACATTCACGGATAATAAAAAATAACATAATAATAATAATAATAATAATAATTTTATAATATAACATTTACGGATATCATAAAAATGGGAGTGAGAGACATCTATAATTGAAATCGGCAATTACTTAGTTGCCAACCAAATATATCTAAAACATCAAACTATTCCAAACGCTGACGATCGACCCTGAAAATCAAGACCCAGAGCTCGACATTCAGCAGCCAATAGCTGCAGCCGTCAGCATCGATTATGCGAATATGCTCTGGAGCCGCTTCGTTTACGTTTACCGACTCGTCTTCCCGTTGGATCCGCGATACTCGTATGCGGAACAAGGACCGAACCAGGTAACCCACTGTACGTGTATCGAATGATTCAAATTCTATTGATCTACTCGGCCCTGACACGCTATCGCGCCGACGATATCGCGCGCTGTATCGATTGGTCGATAGAATTAAAGATGCATGAGAGGAACGGAGTTGGTAGCGGAGGGGGGAAAGATGCTTAGGAGCCTTAGGGAATCGTTATGGGATTTCTGGACCCGCGGTACGCACGTGGAACCCGGGACCGGACGGCTTTCGAATGGAGAGCCAATTAGAAGCCAATCGAACTTCCGGATAATTGAGAAACCTGGTATTGAACTGGGATTTAAATAATGCCCGCTCTCTTTCTCGCTGAATTCAATGAACGCGAGTAGTTCCTGTTCGCCCGTTACTGTTTTTCGTTCTGGTTCTGATAGCTGACTGCCGCGAGAATTTGATACACCGAGAAGAAAAATGCGACGACGAAAGTAATCATGGTTCTAAAGAAATCTAGAGTGAGAGTGCTTGATAAAAGCGATAGACAGTGTTGGAACAATAATGTCGACTGGCAACATCGTCGATATTTCTTCGTCGTTCCTCTATTTTCGGCCTGGAAAACTGGAAGTTCCACGAGTCAACCAATCGCGAAGTATCAGAAACATGTTATTTGATTTGTTGAGAATATTTTATGATGATTAAAGTGCATTTGACCATTGGTTTTCAAGAATCTTATTCAATTTGGGAAATATGATATGGACAGGCAACATTGTTCATTGTTTCCCTACTTTCGAGCTGGGAGATTGGAAGTTCCACAATATTATTTCTTTTGTTGAAAATAATTCAAGATAAGTGAATTGGATTCGAGGCTGATTTATGAAAATTGTATTCGATTTAGGAGAAATATATTTGGTCGACATTTATTAATGTCCTATTATTAGCGACGTCTATGGTAGTTAAGAATTGTTGCAATAAATAAATGAAGATTGGTAACAACGTTTCTAATTCTTGTATTACTTTCCATTATTATTATTACATTTTCTAGTGCACTGTTACAAGCCTCCCGAATCAGCCTTCTAATAATTCAATCAGTATTTGCAATTATTGCAAGATTCAGTCATTGATGCCCAATGTTTGCAGATGCATCATTAAGTAAAAAATTATTAAATTATCAATTTGTTATAAGATTTGTCGAAGGCAATTTAGCTTTTGTTTCGAAACATTTTCTAGGATTAATCGAATACCTCGACGTTAATTTAATATATTATAATAACATAATTGTTCTCTCATTTTTATTATCTTAGAAAGGTATGTTATAAAACAATTAATCGCGTATTTCAATTTAATCAATCTTCCCTAAAATATTGTAATTATAAGATAAGTAAAAATAGGGTAATTACCCTCCTTTAGAACATACTTACAACGAACTTGCTATTGTTGAAAATAAATTTTAGTACGATAGAACAGTGTAATGACTTCAAGACTTGCATATAAAATTCCTAAATTTTCATTAATCTTTTGCACTCAAAGTCATTTTATCTGTGTATCCAAAATAGTTTTTCTGACTTACAGTATATCCATTTTACATGAGATTGAGTCGTGCGACCGATACAACAGTCCTTTAAATATAAACAAATTCGATAATGTGAAAATTGTTGTGGAACGAGAATTAACAATTTTCAGCGGTGTCTTATAGAATCAGTCGAGTGCAAACGGTTCAAAGTAAGGTCTTTATAGCTGTATGATTTTGATACCGGCATTATTCCAGCAAAGCTGTATCAAAATCGATATAATACCGAAATGTCAGTTCCTATATAATACCGAAACCGATATAATACCGAAAACCGACATAAATACCGGTATTATTTCGGTATTCCGTTTGGAGTGGTATTATTAAAGATTAAAGTGAGATGAGTCTTCAGGCTCTTATTATATAACCAGGCTTTCGTAAGGCCAGACAAAATAACAACGCTTATATATAGAAGAAAATAACACCGGTTAAAGAGAATAACCCACCATCTGTGGTTAAAGAGAATCTTGAAAATTCTAATGAAATCTAAAAACTGAAGAAAAAAATATATATATATTGCAGGTAAATATAGGTAAATATATTTCTGAATTTTGGTTTCTATAAGGGATATAAAGGTACCATAAATTCTCCCTAATTAACGTTGAGATTTGTGCACAAAAATGGACAATTTGGGAAGAGGAGAGAGAGTAATTGTTACAATATTTTAGGAAACATTGATTAAATTGAAATACGATTAATCGTTTTATAATATACCTGTTTAAGATAATAAAAATTAGTAGAATTATGTTATTATAATTAAGCTTCCTTTTTATAGTTCGAATAATCGTATCTCCTCTTCCCAAATTGTCGATTTTTTAATACAATCTAAGCGTCAATTAGGGAGAATTTATCGTACACCCAAAAATGACGGATATAATTCCGGTATTTTCCATTGTTTTGTGCGAATGCCTGGCTAAAGGAAAGCTTTAAAACATCGTACTTGCTTGCTGCCGGTGATGCTTACTGACAGTGATAAACAAGTTCGCCGGTCTCTCGTATAGACAAAAGGTCCGCAACGAAGCAGTATAGAAAGCAAAAGCGAAGGACTCACCCGTCGGTGTTGTGCGCCAGGAACGATTTCGGCAGGGACAAGGAGCGTTGATGAGGATCCAGGCAGATCTCGGCCGGCAATGAATCATCGGCCCTGGTGGGAGCGCTGCCAGGCCTGGACAGCATGCCGTCCTTAGGCGGCTCCATCAGCGTCTTCAGGGAGCCGATCACGGCATCCTCCATGGGAGTCGAGGCGCCGGAACTTTTCGCGTTCCTAGGACTCTTGGTGACCGTTCGATCGGACGTGGTGACCCAGATGTCGCTGCTGGACGAGGACGAGGTGGTCGAGGAGGACGCGGCCTGCCCGCTGGGCGATCTATTCGCGATCCCCTTTCCCTGGACCGGCGACACCTTCCTGTCCTTGGCGTCGCAGCCCTCGAAGCTGCCGGCGAACTCCGGTTTCCTGTAGAACCGGTGGTGCTCCCTCTTCTCGACGGAGGAAGGGGTATTCCCATTGGAGCCTTCGAGCGGCGACCACCGGTTCGATTGCTTCAGCACGCTCTTCGGCTGTCTCTCCTGATATTTCGGGTTGTTTTGATCACGGTTCGCTCGGCTCTTCCGAGAGTTCTCGCGGTCCCGGTACTCTCTATCGTCCATCCGCTCTAACGAGGCCGGGGACGAGCTGGCGCTGCCTCTGCTCGTGTGACTGCCGGCGTCCGTGGGGATCCTCTGATGAGCCGGGTAGCTCTGGGACAGCTTCATGAACACCGGGACCTGGTTAGGCGAGTACAGAGTGTCCCTCTGCGAACAATGCGGCCAAAAATCGCAGGTGCTGCTGTTGCAGCGCAACTTCGTGTCCGGACTGATGCAAAAGTCGTGGCTCGACGAGGACGCGCTAGCGTTTGGGGTCGTTGCACCCCGCTGCAGCGTCTTCGGCCGTCGAGATTGCTGCTGTTGCTGCGGCTGTTGCTGCTGAGATTGCTGCGAGCTTTGTTGCGAAGATTGTTGAGATTGCTGAGACGATTGTGGAGGTTGCTGCATAGAAGTACCACTCGTCTTGGCCGATGGCTGTTGTTGTTGTTGCTGTTGTTGCTGTTGTTGTTGCTGCTGCTGCTGCTGCTGCTTCGACGAAATAAAGTAAACGTCGTAGGTGCTCGGATTGCTCCGTCTTTGCTCCTGACTCTCATCCCGACGCTCGAAACGAGTCGAGAGAAGATTCCTCGGCACCGCGCGGCTTCTTGTGCCGTAAAGAAACTCGGTTACCGTCTCCGTCTCGCGGAGAAGCTCCTCGTTCAACGCGTCCTCGGTCGACTGCGCTTTTCCTGGGAACACACGTACACACACATATACACATACACGTGAACGTATCAACCGTTTTGTATTGAAATCCACTTATAGGACGGAAAGACTCGAGCGGATGACTCGATCGACGCGAGACCACCGTTGACTGTATTTATTTTACACTCCTACGCTTCTTGCCGCTAAAATAATCCGTGACACGAGACCAATCTGCGTGCTTGTACACTCGTGGAACAAATTTTGGCGCGTTGCTAAAGCTGCTTGAATTGTGCAACGAAAGGTCAAAGTTTAGAAAATAAAGTCTCCGATGGACAGGGAAATTAATTTGTAGACAGCGCTTCGAGTTATTTTTAGTTTTCAGTAGGCCATCTATTTTCTTGTGTAAAAGATTTTTGGAAATTGCTTATGTGCAATTAGTGTTTATGTAGTATATAACTTTAAACGAATTTAATAAATGTTATTCGGTTCGACGAGAGCTATCGCGATAATATAAAATTGATACACCCATTTAGAGAAATTTTGGAGACACTCATTTATATTATATCAGAGAATTGCATTTGGTTAATAATTATTGTTGATCTTTATGCAAATCTCAATCTTCAAAGATTATTTTACAGAACAAACTCGATCCATCAACTATTACGAAAATTCCTTATACTAATAATGCGAGTAGAAACGTTATTAACCCAATGCCACACCATTTTTTTCAAGTTCCAATGATTAATAACCCTAAAAGAAAATCTTCACTTTTTCTATATCTACGATTACTTGAGTGTTTAAATGTTGATCACAAGCGACCAAAGATTTATTCCGATTTAAAAGAATGGGATAGCAATCATGCTTAAAAAGTTATTACTAGAAACCTTCATCAGTCAGACTCGTTAAAGTATGACAATTTATGTTTGCCAATATATGTGTAGACCATACTATTCCAAACTATGTACTTCAATTTTATATTGTCCCTATTTAAGAAACAGTTGGCATCCAAGTTTCAAGTTTAATAAAGTCGATGATAATTTTACGCTCCTTGGAAGGCGTTCCATAATGGGTACTTTCCCTTATAACGCAATATTATCTAAAAAATGTACAAAAGCAAAAGAGATAAGGAGTAAAAAAGATAAGTAGTACGTACTGTTCTGAAGCGTGTGGCGTTTCCTATCGCCGGCCCGATCATTGGAGATTTTAACAACGACTCTATGGGGCTCGTTAGTCTCTCTCGAGTGATCCCTGCTCGGTGCTTGCGCTCCGGGGGACCTCTTCTCGGGTAATTGAAGACTCCTGGATCTCCTTACTCGGGACTGATGGGATTCAGGGGACACTTGGGTCGTCCTGGCGCTCTGGTGTTGCCTGGCAGCGGCTCCGCGTCTAAAAGGATTCGGTGTCGGCGATCTAGCCTGCCGATCGTTGCTGCTCGACGACGATGAGGAGGACGATGGTGAATTGAAGGACAACTGTTTCCCGGACTCGGTCGAGCCGGGAGATCTTCTCAAGCCCTGCTGACTCCTATGATGACGGCCCTGCCTGTTCGGCGAGATCCTCTCCCCGTTCGCTCGGATCGACTCGTTGGACGAGTTCAGCGCTATGATCGACGACGAGACTAAGCTCAGGTTCAAGGACGAGCTGGGATTGTCGTCCTCGTCGTCGCCGTCGTCGTAGCCCTCCACCGAGGAGTCCGTGTTCTCGGATAGCCTGGGCATAGTGGATCTCTGGACGCAGCTGTCCAGGCTCCTGAAGCCCATGGAAGAGGACGACGAGCTAGAGGACTCCATGTACCTTTGCACGAACTGCGTCCTTCTCGTCGAAGAAGGATCCTCTAACGATTTAGCCTGCGCCATTCGGTACTGTTGCTGCTGCTGTTGTTGCTGCTGTTGCTGTTGTTGCGTCTGCTGCTGCTGCTGCTGCTGCTGCTGTTGCTGACTACCAGCTGTGTTCTGCCTTCGAGGCCTGGATGGCGTGCCAGCGGACTTGCGCGAGGAAGACGGCAAGGAGCTCCAGTTGATCTGGTGCGGCGGCGACGGAGGCGGGCTGATGATGTCGCTGTCCACTATGGCGTTCGACCGGGGCAAGAACGGAGCCTTCCCGTAGTGGCCACGGCCGGACGAGTGCCTCGCCGTGGACTTTTTCCCCACCGCGTCCTGGAACGCCGGCGGAGGCGAGATGATCGGCGTGATCGACGGCGGCGAGTACGACTCCGGGATGCTGTGCGGCGACGTGCACGCGCTGCTGGCCACCGACTCGTACTCTTGGCCGTGCAACGCCAGGTAGTCCGGTCGCTGGCTGTCCACCCTCGAGAACTCCTGCGGACATTTTCCCGGCTCGCTGTTGCAGTGGTAGTTCGCCAATTTGACGGCGACTCGTCGCGGCAACGGCAGCGTGCCCGTCGTCGCGGTCACCAGGCTGCTCTCGTAGCTGATCCGCCGATTCTCGTCCAGGGATCGCTGCTGCACCTGCACCCATCCCGAGCGACCCAGATACACGCCGTCCACCTCTCTGTCGCACCATCGCACCGGAGACAGCTCTCGGCCGCAGTCCCCGCTGATGAACAGCTCGCCCGATGTGCCGCTGTTGCCGGACAGGAACGAATTCGAGGATTCTCGACGACGAGAGCTCGCCACCTGTCCGCAAACCCATCGGTTGGACCCAGGATTAGGACCGAGCGAGACCAACGGACCGCGTCGACGATCAAAATTCGAGGTGGAAATCTGCCGAGCCGGCGTCGGGCTATGGAACTTCAAAGACTTCTCGAGGACACTTTTGGAACTCTGTGTCAAGATTCTAGGAAGTTTCCTGAGAAGCTTTTTAATCATACTCGTAGCGGCTCTTTTCGGTTCTTTTGAAGTGTTAACACGGTCAATTATTTTCGAGGCAGCTATTTGGAAGGCTGAGAGGAGTTTTCGTGGGTTTTTGTCTAGACGAGGTAATTTGAAGGTAATTGGAATGATATTGGGAAATGTATTTGGGTAGACATTTTTTTAAGAATAGTAAGTGTACTTCTATCCTATTGGATAATTGTCCTATATAATTGATATTTATCTTATTGCTCAATCATATAAAGTATCCAGACTTGTACGTACGATTTTTATAAGTAGCGAATGAAATATAATAGAGACATTTACGTATGTAAAAGACAGATATTTACAATGTAAATATAGTGCTTAACTTTCTCTTTCATCCTCAGTATAAGTATTTATTTGATTCTGAATGATAAGGTTAAATTCTTTAAGAATGGTAAGTATACTTCTATCCTATTGGATAATTGTCCTAATTGATATTTATCTTATTGCTCAATCATATAAAGTATCCAGACTCGTACGTATGATTTTCATAAGTAGCGAATGAAATATAATAGAGACATTTACGTATGTAAAAGACAGATATTTACAATGTAAATATAGTGCTTAACTTTCTTTTTCATTCTCAGTATACGAATTTATTTGACTCTGAATGACAAGCCTTCCGGGAATTTGGAATTTTATTGGAAATATGGAAATATGAAAACATAATCTCAATGCAATTCACTTTGATCGTCGAGCGCCTGGCCATTCTGATCGTTCGATCATCAGCGTTCAAGTATCAGCTATCCTTTATCCCTACATTTTCGTGCTATCAGATATTAATATTAATTTGTTCGAATATTAAACAACGCTGCAGATGTTCGATCCGTCTTCGGAAAAAGGTCAAAAAACTTTAACGAGGTTTACTTATCAAATTTTTGTACTGGTTTTGTTTCAGAAACTATAAGACGGTCAACAAATTTGATGCGCCATTTTCTATTAGTTTGATGGAAAAATAATTGCGGTTCTCATCGATCCAAACTTCAAGCAATTATTTATAACTTCAACAATTCAATTTAAAAAATTCTGTGAAAGTCTCGAAGGAAAAGGCGAGCGCTGACGTTATCTTACGACTAGACTGTGAATCTTGATGCAAAATAAATATTGTCCGAATCGTAAGCAACAGAAATTAATTAAAAATATATTCTTTTTTTTGATGATTTCAATAAATTGAGGAAAACGTCAGAATATACTGCAATCCTTTTAATGTATCCAATGTACTTTTCATAGGTATTTTTATCATAAATGCTTGAAG